TTGCAGATCTGCAGGCAGGAGCTGGCAGGACTGTGGGCCAGTGGCAGTGCTGAAGAACAAGGCTCTCCAGGGCTTGGTTACTTTCCCAAAGGCTGGGATTGCCCTTGCTCGCTAAGGGCTGCGTGTTCCCCCAGCCCAGCCAGCCACCTCCACTGGGGCATGGGTGTAGCCCTGGGCTCTGTAGCACCCTCTGGTTGTTTGATCCCTTGCTCAAGGGCTGTGGTAGGGTTCCTGGGCCCTTCCTGGTGCTGGGGGCTGGAGGGGTGGGATGGGATGTGCGGATCAGGAAGGAATGTCTGGGCCAGGGTGTGAGTGGTCACTGTCTGATGCTCCAGGTGAACCTGAGCAATGCCTCTCGGACCCAGGGAGGCAACTCCTTTGATGACAGCACCTTGCCTCTCATTGACAGGAACCAAAAAACAGGTATGTGCCTTCCCTGCAGCTCCTGTCCCCCCCATCGCCCTTCTACTTGTGGTTCCCCAGAAGAGCTGGCCTTCGTCCCCTCTCTGCTCTTCAGCCCTGGCTTTCTTGGCAGCCACAGCTGCTAACACAAGGCCATCAATATGGGCTTTAGATGGCTTCTCAGGGCTGGAAAGGACCTATGTTCATGTAGGTCCTGTAGCATCCTTATGTCAACAGTGCTGTGGCTGCAGCTGGGTCTAGGCTCTTCTAGCTGGGGTAGGCAGCGGTTCCTCTGCTGCTTGTGGCTGCAGGGGCTGTGTCTGATCTGCTCTCCCATGCTTGTAGACAAGAAATCCTCCCGGGAGGAGATCCAGATGAGCAACATGGGACCAGGTAGGATTGGGACTGAAATGGTGGGAGCATCTTGCTTCCTTGGTATGCTGGGGCAGAGATCATACCTCCTGTGGGGATGATGCTGCCTCCCATGGAGGTGACATGACTGACTCTCTCCTTTCCTGCTCCAGACAACTATTCCACACTCAATGAGCGGGACCACAGCAGGACACTGGACCGATCTGGTGACCTCGGAGATACGGAGCCAGTGAAGGCAGTGCCCTCGATGGTGAGCAGCAACTCCTGATGGGGGATGTGAGTGGGGCTGGGGGCAGGAGATGACCCATCACTGTCCTGGCTGGCAGGAGGAGGCAAGAACTGGGCTTCCCCAACTAACACCCCCCCGCTCCATCGGCCCTACTAACCTGGTGTGTCTGCAGGAGGA